ACCGCCGACTCGATAATTTAACACTGGCGCCATCTCGCGGCATTCTCCCATCTGAACTTCTTTACCACACAGCACACCATCAATAATTTCTCCTAATTATACAAAATAACCTATTAATGGGTATTAATTGGGACCAATTGTTTGTCTATCAGCATTTAAATAATTTTTTGATTATATTCCAATCATTTTTGGCCCATTTTTCGCCTTAAAATGACATCCATGCACATCCATGCTACATCCATGCTACAACATGGATGTACCATGGAACCTCAATCGCCAGGGAAAGGATCATATGAGACTCTAATTCAACATAAATCATAGTTTGGGTTGTTCAATTGGTAACATTCATTGTAATTATTTTGAAAATTGATTTTTTCGTAGGAAGATTTCAAAAAGGGACTCCTCAGAATTCTGTTCATTAATTAAAAATGTTTGCATGTTCAGGCTCAATTGTCATCACAAAAAATCGTTTACGAATTTTTAAGAATGGAAAACTATTGAAAAATCAAACCTCTTCAGGCTCACGTCATTTGACTCCAAAATAGTTGTTTTCAAGGTACTCACTAAAACAAACTTCTCCAAATTTCACATTCTTATTAAAAAATTCCCTAGTGTCCTTTCGACATACATGTCATCAATAATTATGTGGAGTGAATACCTCAGAGAATCGTTGTTCAATCCCAAAGATGTTGACAAAAAAAAAATATTCTCATGGAATTCTTCCCTTTGCACATATATCCATTAAATGCGATTTCCTGACACTTGACGAAATTATATCCTCTGTAGTATTCATCACAAGTTCAAAGGATTCTCGTCCAATTGGGTTCCCATTCGTGCAGAAGTGCAGGCCAAGATAAATCATTTTCCTTTGCCTGTCTGAAACGTCCCCTGGCTCAATCTTCCAGATTCCCATTTCCTGGGTGCTTTCAATGGACTCTCCTCATCCTGAACATGAGATACTGATTCAACAATAATCAGGTTCCTCATCCCAAATTATGGTTTGCACTGGTGTTTGGGTGATGTTCATCAATTCTGCCTAGTCCTGAATGACTTAGGATTATCCAGAAGAGAGAACTTTATGTCTGTTGGCTCATCTCATCCCCATTGGCTTTGTTGATGGCCTTCCAGGGTTTTTTTCTCACAAACCTTCGAATTGTACATTGACACGGGCACTGCATTGAACCCCACAATGTTGAGGTCGATGGTATGAAATAATTTCAGCATTAAATACGAATGATTCCTCAAATATTGTTAATTAATTGAATTGGTTTTAATGCACTAAACCGACATCAAAACAAACACTTCTAATCCGCATGCGATTGCGAGGGGGGAACGCTCAACGCACAGCTGACGGTCCCCCGGGGGAGTCTGCGCGTGCGCAACCTGCCCACCAAGTCAGAATTAGAAAAAAAAAAAATTAAAAAATAAGTATTATTTCCCAAACTCCAAGTCAGTGTTTTTTGGTCTTCCTAAATGATTTTACATCGATCTAAACCGGTCCGATCAATGATTGGTCATACCACCTGCTAACTCTACGCCATATAAAAAAGTAATTAATTGTAAATAAACTATTAGTTCCTAAACTATGAAATTCATTCCTAAACTATCCTAAACTATTCCCCAATGATTGGAATTGGTTTGATTCCAAAACTCGCTAATTGCCTGATAATTATATGACCCTGGGGGCAGAGATAATAGGGGAGATTGCTCAGGCTTATGGGAACTGATCGATCAGAGTTTCATAACGGTGGCGCGAATGAACTAATCGAGAGGCCGTCTCTGTGGGTAAAGAAATTATCATCTAATACCATGGAATCAGTCGATAACAGGGATGCGTTCCCAATCTTAAATCCAACATGAAAGCTCCTTTGCATTCACTCATCCGCTTGATTATCCCATTTTCGTTCATACAACTTCTTATTGTCTTAATTTGTAAATTAGTTGATCATAAAGGAGAGGGAGAGAAGGAATTATGAAGTCTTGAGCGAAAGCGGATCATTTATTTGAATTTCTATACAACTAGATCTTTAATAATAAAAAAATACGAGCAATTCATCTTATTCACATTTATTACATATTTTATCAGTGATACAAAGGTAATGAATGAATTTCAAATTATTTTGATGAGAAATATATTCAA